TCTTTCTTTTTTTTTGGGGGGGGGGTGCCTGGAATTCTTTAACTACATCCAGGGCATATAAATACATATGGAATTCCGAAGCTTTAGGGTGCATTCTGATCTTTTTTTGCTTAAACTGTGTGTTGGGCGCCTTTCAATCCTGTGCTCATGTTATTGGGCCCGCACCAAATTGCACGTGACCGATATACAATGTAAATGTATCCTGGCTTCCAGAATGCACAGATTGGAATGAGATGTCATTTTTTTTTTTTTCTTTTATGTAACCAAAATATACAAACTTGTCATTTTAGTATACTAGGTTTGTGTGTGGGGTTCCCCCCCCCCTTCCTCTCCCCAGGCAGATTCTCTCTCCTTTTGTGCAGCAGAGGCCATCCCTCCCCTTGCACACCGGTAAGCTTATAAAGCTGCTTGTTCTGTCTTATAACCCTCCAAGGACCTGAGGCTTTGTGCTGAGTAAAGACTGATAATGATTTATGGATCTCTTCTCTTAGTGTGTGTGTGTGTGTGTGTGTGTGTGTGTGTGTGTTCCCCCTTATTCATTCTCTCCCAGCAAGTTCTTGTTTGTGCAGTAAAAAGGGGATGACATCACTCTCTTCACACTGCTGATTCATCCTTCCACCTGCAGGGGGCGTGTTGGCTCCCTGCTGAGTAATGAGGATGATAACTCATTGATCCTCTTCTTGTCATTGTGTAGCACTGATGACATCCCTGGTTAACTCTTTGCCACTCCAGCGCTATAGGGTGCCCGATCATCCTGTATGCATGCTCTCCCTGTGCTTGCTTGCGTGGGTTTCCTCCGGGTACTCCGGCTTCCTCCCACACTCCAAAGACATGCTGGAAGGTTACGGTAATTGGCACCTGTCTATATTGGCCCTGTATGTATATGTGGGGTAGGGACCTTAGAGTTTAAGCTCCTTGAGGGCGGGGACTGATGTGATGTAAGTTGTTGGCGCTATATAAATACTCCTGCCCCCCCCCAGGCACAAAGCTGGGGTGGTTTAATTTCCTCACCTCTGTTTTGGGGGATGTGTTCTACCCCACAATGGCAGCTGCTGCGTCTCCTTTTTAAAGCAATCTTCCTCTTTCCTGTTTTCTTTACTTTTTATTCGTTCTCCCACGGACTTTTAATGATCAGGGCAGTCTTACTCACAATGCTGCATTCTGTGTTAAATTAGGAACCTAAACAGACCCCTTTGTAATAGTAGTTGGCATCCACTGATTTATTGAGGAGAAATGTATAGAATTAATATTTTTATTGTTTTGCAGCTTATGCATTATCCTTGAGCAGGATGGACAAGTTGGGTTTCTGTTGAGAGCATTTTTTTTTTTGATCGGACGCTTTGTTTCAGCGTTTAGTTTTTCGTCTCGTGGACGTCAGGGGTCTCTTCAGATGTCGGATTAGTTTGGGGCTCGCGTGTGTGACTCTGGGTGCTTGTTTGGATAACGCACTGTGCAGTCATGCTCTTTAAAGACCACAGCGACTGTCTGACCCTTCTTTGTTCCAATGCGGTCCACTCGAGCAGCGCAGATCATATGACCTTGTTTTTCTGTATGGCTGTCGGGTGACAGAGCAGATTATGTCTGTGCAGGTTTAGAATGTAAGCTTTGTGTGTGTGTGTGGGGGGGGGTTCTTGGGTTCTCATTTCCCCTCCCCTTTCTCTCCCCCTACTCCCCTTTTCCCCTATTTTCCTTCATTGGGGACGTTTGTCACTCAGCTTTGTGGTGCATTCGAGGATTGCTCATGCAGGTCTTAGACTTTATATTGTTTCCATTGCAATAAAGACCATGTACAAAGTTTTGTGGTAGAAGCGATCACCTTTATCGGCGAGGGGTACTTGGTAGATACAAGCTATCGGAGCATGTCGGGTTCCTTTTTATAAAGCTGCCCATACACCTTACAACCATCGCACGACTTTCGTTGTGCGATGGTTGTAATGTCATTAAAATGTCGTACGATCTGCCCATCTTGAACGGCTTTAGTCTTCAGAGCATGCTACTAACCCGCCGAAAATCGTATGATTTTCGGCAGGTTTTCCAGCGTGCTAGGACGAGAAGTCGTGCGACCGTACAGTAGATGCGGTCGCACGCTGCCCTTACACCGGCCGATTATCGTACGATCGCAGGATCACCCGTGATTATTGTACGATAATCGGCAGGTGTATGGGCACCTTTAGGGATCCAAATTGTATAATGTCGGAGGAAGAAACATAATGAGGGGAATTTATGAAAACTGGAGCAGCTGGCAACCAATCGGCTTCTTTCATTTTCCAATCTTACCTGAGCAAACTGTAGATAGAAGCTGATTGGTTGCCATGCACAGCTGCTCCAGTTTTCATAATTTTTCCCCCCCCCCCCCCAATGTGTTCCAAAAGCTTTTCATCTTTATTCTGAATGTAGTCTGCTTGTGCTTTGCTTTCCCTGGTTCCTCCACCTTCTGGACCAACTGTGGGGTAACGCTGGCTATAGGGTTCTGTTTATGGATTTATTTATTTATTCTATATTCTGGACACGATGGACTTCAACATTACTAACAATGTAACAAGCTAATGCAATAAAATAAAAAACCCTTTTCTGTTTGTGTTATAATACCTTTTTGTTAGGGGCAGTAGGGTGCTGTGCATAGCTTCCTGAAACCATTACGGCACCTTGCCTCAGTAAATTTGTGTGAATATTCCCTTTTAGTGAATCCATTCGTGTGAAAAGCAAATTCCTGTTCTCTTTAAATACTCAATCCTGTGACACACACCTGCACATATTTGTATTAAACTTGTTTTTTGCCAGAGTTTGACTTTTCAGGCTAGGTTCACACCAGATGCTGTGCGTTTGGGTCCGATTCTGGCCAGAACGCACTGCATCACATTGCGGCCGGCTCACTTTTCTGTGGGGCAGGAGGGGGTGTGGCGGGCCATTGAAGTGAATGGCACCGTAGCCAATGGCACGCGATCAAAATAGTGCTTGCAGCATTTCGATCGCACCGGACCGCAGGCATAATGTGACCTCAGGCATAATGTGCATTGCGATCCTGTGCGGCCGGAGGGCGTGGCTACGGTGCCATTCACTTCAATGGCCTGCCACGCCCCCTCTGGCCCCACAAAAAAGTGAGCCGGCCGCAATGCGATGCAGTGCACTCTGGCCAGAATCGGGCCGGAACGCACCATCTGGTGTGAACCTTGCCTAAAGCGTGAGGTGGGTAACTCTGTCCCTCCAGCTGTGCTTTAATTACAAATCCCGTCTTGGCTCTGGGGGTCATGCCTGTGGCGGTCAGACTTGCAATGCCTCATGGGATTTGTAGTTCTGCAGCAGCTGGAGTTGCCCACTGTTAATTTAAAGAATCAGTGACTGTCTCTTTAATGTGGACTGATGTTGCTATATGAAAAAGTCACGGCTGTAAGTTGTACTAACTTCTAATTCTTATTTTTAGGTTATTTTTAAAGCTCGCTGCTCCCCGGAGTTCAACAGATACAAGTAAGTTGTTTTTGTTTTTTTTATTTAAATTTTTTTAAAGACTTCGGGTCATACGCATGGCACCCTGACTTGTGTAGCATCTCTTTAAGGAAAATGTTTCTCACATCTGGTTAACAAATTTCTAAATGCCAGCATGCTGCAGAGAAGGACCCTTTCCCTCTGTGTGGAAGCAGTGGACTCTCTGCACAGGTCTGACACTCCCCCTGCTGAGTCAGACCTATAGCTCTGCAGTCGGTGAATCTCATTCTCCCTGCAGATTGGTGAACTACTGCTCTGCCCTAGCAGGGGCTGTGACGGATGCTATGCTGAGTGACCACTGCTTCTACAGAGCAAGAGTCCTTTGTAGTGTGCTGGCAGGGGACCATATTTTCTACTTGGGACTGTGGCTGCTTTCTAAAGAAAACAAATTGTAACTTTGCAATACTATTGATTTTGGTCAACCTGGAAGGAGTTTAGTTGATTATGTCCCATTATGCACCTGTCTCTGGGAGTCGTGGCGATCAGTCTTGCAATGCCTAATGGGATATATATATATATATATATTTAATTTGCTCTCCTCCTTTTTGTTTGGCTGCTGGAAGCAAAGAGGCGTGGGCTTCCATGAGGCTGAGGTCTCTCGCCCCCCTGCGTATAACGGCGCCGTTGCCTAAGCAGTCAATCCTGAAGCACCAGCATTGTCGCATGCTCCTCCATATCCAGAAGAAGGGCCGTCCCTTTTAGTGAGGCAGAATCACTTGAGGAGGGGGGTGGGCGGCAGTTAGAGTGGGATGGCCACCGTGCTGCACAGTTTCTGCAGTGTGCCTGCCACCCCCTTTCCAGTCGGAGCGTCCCAAGTTGCTAATAGTAGGACCATACACATCTCTCCACCCAGCTCTTGGCAACCTTGGACCCTCTGACTAGCGTCCTGCTCAGCTCCTGGCAACCAGTGATGGCATTTGTTGCCAGGACGCCAGCCAGAGCATCCCAGGTTGCTAAGAGCTGTGGGCAGGGAGATGCAGATCCTGCAGAAGGCAAGCCTCACTCTTGTATCTGGTGGTGCTGTCTCCTCTACCCACCTCCCGCTGCTCTGTTTGCATGTACCCCCAGCACCCTCCCAAGTGATTGTGTGCACTACCAGCACCCATTAGATTGGGTTCCTTTAGTCCTTAGGATCACAGTTGCGGAATTCTGGTTTGCCATTATAAGGTCTATTTATAAAAATGTGCATAGCTATTCATCCAGCAAAACTGCATTTTACATTTTCTTCTGTGTGAAGTTATTGTTCAAATGGGTCAAAATTGAATGTTCTTTTGTTTAAATTTTATTTCTTTGCTAAGAACAGTGGCGTAACAATCACCATAGCGACCCAGGTGGTTGCTATGGGGCCCGGCCAGGACATTACTGATGCCTTTGTGGGTCGCTATGGCATCTCGCGCTACTGGTTTTCACTGGCGGCTGTGAAAAGAAATGTGCCGCTTTTCAGATCACTGCAGCAGCGCGTTCCTCTCCACAGACGAGTCAGTGAGAGCCAGCAGTGGCGGTGGAGCAGGCTGGACCCAGCAGTGGAGGACGCGGGGCCTGGGGTTGGCAGAGAGGGGCGGGCCTGGTGACGGGAGGAGGAGGCGGGGCTCAACACCGACGGTGAAGGAAGATGAGGGTGACCAGCCCACCTGAGTGTGACCCTGCAGAGCACACCTTAGAGAGTCTATGGTAGGCTCTGCAGGGTCCCCCTCAGGTGGGCTGTGTGGTATCTCAATTGGGCTCTGCAAGGGGTGTAGCTAGAGATCAAAGGGGCCCCATACAAAATTTTCCTATGGGGCCCTGTAATTTCTAGTTACGCCCCTGGTTACTAAGATGTATTTCCTATGATCCTCAACTCCATCTATTTGCCATAATGCTGTATTTTTTTTCACCATTCACTCTATGGGTTCACCATTCACAAAGCTAGCACACCAGGATAAAGAGACTTTTTGTAAAATAAATAACAGATCTTTTCCGCTGAGTCCGATCAGATTTGAAAATAAGTCACGTGGCTGGAAATGAAAGATGCTTATCTTCCGCAATGGTGCTTATAGCCGGAATGGGCAACTCCGGCCCTCCAGCTTTTGTGGAACTACAAGTCCCATGGGGCATTGCAAGACTGACAGTTGCAGGCATGACTCGCAGAGGCACGCTGGGATTTGTATTTAAAGAACAGCTGGAGGGCCGGAGTTGCCTACACCAGCTGTATAGCTTTATGAATTGAGCATTGTGTGCCTTAGGCATTAACCTATTATCACTACTGTCCACATTTGAAGAACATTCCACCAAAAGAGATGGGCTAAAAAGAAAAGCTCAAAAGGTGAACATTCACCTAACAGCTGGTTTATTCACCCAGAATGAATGTAGGTGCCATGTAGCTGGATGAATAGCTATGCGAGTTTGTTTACAAATGGATCCCTTTTGTGTTTGGCTTTGGAACTTTTGAGTTCTTGGAAATACTCTTTACATAAAACAGCCACCTAATTTCCGGCATGTCTCCTCCATACAGGATCCCCCTTCATTTTGGATTTTTACTTACTAGCCTCGCCTTCCTGATAGTGAACTTGTCCTGCATCTTAATCGGCAATAGCACAGACAACCAGCATGGATGGATCACCATGACCCGGGTCATATTCAGTGACTGTCTCTTTGCAGCTTGTTCCATCTCTCTGGCCAACAACACGTACAGGATCGCAAACATGTCCCCTGCATACGTCTACCTGGAGTCAAAGGTACGTCATACTGATTTTGTATTTAATAAAGGAAAAGCGTGACCTCTGCACTGATCTGACGTGAATGACCTTGGTTCTAATGGCACCTGAAAGTGTGTGTGTGTGTGTGTGTGTGTTACAAAGTGGAACATTCTGTCCCTGAAGTTGACGTGTTGGACAAGTGTAAGGATTTGGGAGATTCTGACAAGGGCCAAATTGTGATAGTCTAGACAACTGGGTCCGAGCTTCTCCAAAACTGCAGACTTTGTGGGATGTTCCCGGTCTGCAGTGGTCAGGACCGACAAAGTGGTCCAAAGAAGGAAAACTGGTGAACTGGGGACAGGATCATGGGCAGCCAAGGCTCATTGATGCGCATGGGGAGGGAAGACTGGCCTGTTTAGTCTTATTTAATAGAGCTACTGTAGATCAAATTGCTGAAAAAGTGAACACTGGTTCCAATAGAAAGGTGTCTGAACACACAGAGCATCAGTTTGTGTGGTGCTGCTTTGCTGCAGACTAGTCGGGGTGTCTATACTGACCCGTGTTCGTTGCTAAAAGCACCTACAATGGGCACATGAGCGTAGGAACTGGACCACAGAGCAATGGAAGAAGGTGGCCTCGTCTGTGTCTCTTACCCGAGGAAGAGATGGCACCAGGATGAACTATGGGAAGAAGACAAGCGGGCGGAGGAAGTGTGATGTTTTGGGCAATGCTCTGCTGGGAAAACTTGGGTCTTGCCATTCATGTGGATGTCACTTTGACACGTACCACCGACCTAAACATTGCTGACCAAGTACACCCCTTCATGGAAACGGTATTCCTTGATGACTACTTTGAAGTCCAATGTCTACTGAAACTCAGTTTTTATTTCAATGGAGCAGGAAAGATTTGGAGCCTCTGTCAGGTTATTGCTGGAAGTGCCAAAGTCCACATTTGTCACCATCTGCTGAGTATTCCTGTCAGTTGACACAGCAGCGATATTAAAGGAGTTGTGAAGTCCCAGCATATACTCTCCTCCTGTTATAGCATCAGCATTGTAATAGGAATACATACTAAAAATCCCTTTTTATGTAGTGAGCGCTGCCTTCCGTCTGCCCATCACGTCCTGGATTCCCAGTGTGCTTTGTATCTTTCCCTGCTGCTTGACGTGAGCCAATCTACGTTTCTCAAGACTACATATCCCTTTATGCATTGCTTCCAGCGAGCAATGGTAATGTTTAAGGTGTTAAGACATTGACTTGTAGAAAGGTCGGCTCTGTGAGTGGTGACACAAGGAATTGCATAGTCACAGGGCTGAGTGAAATGGTGTCAGTGCCTCGAAGTCCATCCGATGGGCATCTTCAATAAGTATGTTTACAAACTTCTAGATGGATCTGGTTATTAGCAGTGGGATAGAACTGATGGGAATTCAATATAGATAGGGGTTTTGGCCATATAAATTGGCTCTTTTTAAAGGGTCTATATATACAATTTTTCTCCTAATGGGTCCTTATGAAGGGTGTGTCATGTCACCCAAATGTGTTTTGCTTTGTGTAAGTTTTAAAATTGGAATAAACCTGCATCAGGACTTCAGGCTGTGACTAGAATGGAATCCCCACACCATGAAGTGACCAAGGATCCCCTTTTGGTGTGCAGAAGCTGCCAATCTACTGCACGCCTATTAAACCCAAGTTCCACCTACACACTTAAGTTCTTTTATTGCTTTTTCCTGTATAATGGAGACAGATGCTTTTTATTAGAGTTTTGGACGGTTTAGAACTTCTGGCAATCCTTGTTTTTATTGCAGTCTTTGCCTTCCCGTCCTGATGACACTTCTCCTCCTCCTCCCAAATGTGGTCCCTAAGCTTTAAATGCTGCTGTTCTGCCTGGAATTAGCCAGCCCTGCCTTGCCCTGGAGTTCTCGCTTTTATTCAGGGTTTGCAGCTGCATGCATAGGGAACGATTTATCATTGCCAAGACTTTAATCATCCCACTTGTGCATTTGCTGAGGTTACCTACTAAACATAAACTGTTGCTGGGACTGGAGGACCGGTTGAAAAACTGCATTTGCCTAATCTACATAATTGCATCAAAAAAACCCTTCCTGGCTTAATTTTGTACAACGAAATAACACGTGCGCATACACGATCGGTTGTTGAGAAGGTGATGTTTGGTCCTAACCCTCTGTCCTTGCTTCTGATTTTAGGGAACCTCAGGAAGCCAAGCAGTTGTAACTGGCTCAGTGATCAGCGTACTGTATATACTGAGGGCCTTTTACAACCTGGTGATTGTTTCCATCCAGCCAGACAGCAAGCCGACCCCCTTCAGCTACGGCTGGAATGGAGTATCTGATCACGTAAGTACTCCCATTTATAATGCATGTGTCTTGAGGGTTTTAGGGCGTATCTAAACAACAAAATCCAAAAGTGTGGAATATATTGCACCTCAGCAGGCCTTAGTTATGGTGGCTGGGTTTTTTTTTCCTGGTATCCTACCAGTAACACCGTTCCTGTCCTAGGGTGACATCATTTCTCACTGTGCTGTATCTATTGAGGAGTAACGTTGTCACCGTAGACTTCTCACCTGATTTTTGGACTACACATTCTGGCCACTCTTGGGCTGATGGGGGTCCAAAACGAGTGAGGTATGTGAGTAAATACACATATTTTGGTGGGGGTCGTAGGATAGGGCTTGTTCTAAATGTAAGTGGGGTTTTTACTTTTTGATGTACTCTGAAAGTTCTAAACAAGAGTAAAAATAAAGCTCCATGTGCTATCCATTTCCGTCCACTAGGTGGCATGGATGCTCACCTAAAGACCTCAACAATACAGATGAGAAAGTAGATGCTGGTGTCATTGAGAGAATCCTAATTGATCTGTTGCCTTTTATCAATGTCTGAGGGGTGCAGGAGACTGCAAATGGCTACAGTAACATTTTCGTTTAAATGTAATCCAGTTGAGGTTTAGCTTTACTTTTAATTGTGCAGAGTCCCACTTTTAATCCCCTTTTTTTTTCCCTCCCAGGTTGTTACAGAAGAGACCAATGATCTGGAATATTTCCTCTTTGTAATTATTCTCCTTATCTGTGAGTTCCTGCCAATGAGTCTCATGGCTTGCTTCTTCCGTGCTAAAAAGCTGAGTCAGAACTTGGTGAGTTTCACACTCGTTTGACTTTTTTTTTGTTGGGGTAAATGCGTCGTCTTCTGGCAACTCTGCCATTGAAGACTCTGCTCATTCAGGGTACAGAGCTTACACAGGGTGGAGGGGAGCACACTCATTCGCCCTCCTGTATCAGGATTCCCTCTGCTATTGTCCATAGTTTAGTGGGGCTTGGTTCTGTAGACCTCGGACAACAATGTTAAGTTGGTACAGTAAGTGATTAAAACATTTCCTGTAACAAAACCTTTTCAGTAGTATTATTTAGTATATTTAACAGATTAAAGAAACCAAATAAGTGTTTTTGGCGCCATAGAAAAATTGAGCACTTAATCCTTGCAGTGCCAGGGTAGCCCCACTGCAAGGGTTCAGATTGTATTTGCTCAAACTGTGAAGGGGAGGCAGAGGTGTAACCCTGATGGATAGTCTAATCCTCCTCCCACTCCTTGTGAAACTGGACCAAAAGTAAAAGTTGTACTCTCTACAGGAGAGTGTGCAGCTCTAGCCAGTAGCAGGTAACACTGCTGCACGTTGGGGGGGCAGAATGCCCGTAACTTGTGTCAAGTAGAGATCTGTGACTTGATTGTGCATGATTCCTGAAGAATGCCCAAACTTCAGAAGTTGGAAGCTGGGCAGGACGTCTGTTGGCCAACTTATATTTATTTTTATTTATTTTTTTCCCCCACCTCTACAGGAAGCGGCGGGTATGGTCAATAGTCACAGCTTTGGATCCAGAGCGTACTTTTTTGACAATCCTAGAAGATATGACAGTGATGACGACTTGCCCAGGCTGGCAGGTACCAGAGGAGAGCGAGGAAGGTGAGTTTGGCTGGGAATGTGCCGTGCAGCAAGGTTTTTCACAGCCACAATGCGTAAAAGTTTTCTTACACACTTTGCATTTCAAACTGATCTTATAATTGCCCTAAATGTGCTCTCACTGACCTCCTGTAGCTGCAGGCACTGTGGAGCAACATGTCCTATATGTTCACAGCTGAAGCACTGCTACAGTTGGGTCTCTTAGCAGCACAGCAAAGGCAGAGACACCGGCACTCCAGGGTGAAAAGCAAAACATCTATTTATTGACGTGCAGCATAACGGATATTGCAATCCTGTTATGCTGCACGTCAATAAATGGACGTTTTGCTTTTCACCCTGGAGTGCCGGTGTCTCTGTCTTTGCTCATACTTGTGATGTTTGCCACCCGTTAACTACCGTAGCGCCCGCTTCTTGAAAGGGATCTTGCGGTCAGGAGTGCGATGGGACCATGGACTTTCTTGGCAGCTCAGCTCTCACTATGTCAGCTGCAAAACAGAAGTTCTGCCCAGCACGAGAAGAGATGCAGATTTAAAAGCAAGAGCAGCAAAGAGAAGGGAAACAACCATGGATTACAGTAAGGCGCACATTACAGAGACTTCTGTGTTTCTGCAGTGAACATGACGGAGGAATTGCTGCACATTGCCTGCAGTTACAGAGGGCTTCTTGTAAAGTTAATGAACTGCTTCTTAGGAATGTGTACATATTTGATAGCCTGTATCCTGGCTGTAGGTGCACATTTGGAGTTTAACTTTTAATGTTGCCGGTATGTGATTAAGGTGGTTGGCCAGATGCCATTATTTCCTGTTTTGTAACTCTCAAATCTTTCTGTTTCAATTATTTTAAAGCTTGTCGTCCACCCCCAAGTCCTCCGGATGGTATGGTACCATATGTTATTGCATACACATTCCGTTTTTTGTTTTGATTTTCCTTTGTCGAGACTGCGAAGATTTAAGCATGGGACGCCACCGTTCTTAACACTTGCCCAGGTACTAGAGAGGTTTCGGGAGTGGAGTGGCAGCTGGTGAACCTTGCTTAAGGAATTTATGAATTGGTGCATTTTTTTTGCACGTAACTCGTTTTCACGTGAAGACTTATTTCTATCAAATCCTGGACTTTGAGGATACGTTTGCATTTAACCGCCCTCGAAGATGAAACTTCAGCGCAGTAATGTCCAACTTTTGACTGGAGCTGACCCTATCCGCACAATGGCCCGCTTTACTTGTGCTTGTACGTGGCCAGTACTAAAGCAGAGAAGGATGGCGAGCTTGGTAGACCTGCTGGCAAATGTTATGCTTTTGAAAGTTTATAATTTTTTTTTTTTTTTTTTTTTTACGATTTATTACACCCCATTTCAGCAGACCTCCTGCACTAACCCATGGCAGTATCCCGTTATAAAAAAAAAAACAATAAAGGTGTCTTTAAATTCCCTATTTTAATTGTCTGATCAAAACTAGTTTTCGTATTCTCAAAACTGACATGTGGCTGCAGAGAGATCTGTCCACCCAGAACAGATACTTGAATACAGGGGTAGGCAACCTTGGCAGTCCAGCTGTGCTGAAATTACAAATCCCATCCGGTCTCTGGGAGTCGTGCCTGGGGCTGTCGGTCTTTCAGTGCCTCATGGGACTTGTAGTACAGCGACAGCTGGTGTGCTGAGGTTGCCTACCCCTGCTTTATTGTGAACCTCAGCACAGCAAAATATCATTAAAGGTATAATGCCCATGAAACTACCTTTGGTTAGTTTGTGGTTACTGCTCAAAAATTGCCACTGAAAGGATTCTATAGCGTCACTAGCTGAAATGCCAACTGCATGTGGGGTGACGTTTGAGTATTCGTTTCCAGGTTTGTGTCTCCAATTGTTGCTTTAAAGTGAGCTATAGGCAGATATAAACTTTTATACCAATTTATTGCTATTCTGTATTTGTTGGACTCTCATAATATGCAGGGAATGGCCCTTCATTGCCCAATCGCAGGCTGAGGGTGGGGCGGTGACTAGGTTGTACTGCTTAACTGGAGTAGAGAAGCCGGGTTATCAACCTCGCCGTGCTGGACTGTGCAAATCTCAGGGCTGGCTGGGCAAAATGTTTCAAGCAAACCCCCGCCCCCCATTTAATTTTGCTCTGTATGGCTGGAGTTCAGCTTTGTGCTTACAGAGAATGTTCCAACTGGCTGTATTGGAAGTGGGCAGTAAGTCACCCCCCCCCCCCCCCCCCCCCCCCCCCCCCCCCACCACACCCCCCTCGC